CAATAATACATGATAATTCAATAATTTATAATTAATCAATAATACATGATAATTCAATAATTTATAATTAATCAATAATACATGATAATTCAATAATTTATAATTAATCAATAATACATGATAATTCAATAATTTATAATTAATCAATAATACATAATTAATCAATAATACGCAATTAACCAATAATACATAATTAATCAATAACACATAATTAACCAATAATACATAATTAATCAATGATACATAATTAATCAATAATACAATAGAAACTTATGCAATAAATGTACACTTGCTCTTTGCAGATATTGTAAATTTTGCAGTACATTAACAACGTTAATAATAAATATTTTTTAAAAAATACTTATTGTTAATAATAATTTTGTTAAAATACTAATTGTTAATGAATACATTAACAACAGGCATTTTTTTAATAAAAGAAATCTAATTTTTAAAGATAAATTCTATATGTATTTTGGTAGGCTTAAACAAAATTTTACAGGATAAATGATTAAAAAGGAATGTGTTTTTAATAATTTGATAATTCAAAGTAGAAAGATGTTGTAAATAGTTATGCAATAAATGCACACTTGTTCTTTGCAGGTATTGTAAATTTTGGAATACCTTAACAACATTAATAATAAATATTTTTTAAAAAATACTTATTGTTTATAATAATTTTGTTAAAATACTAATTGTTAATGAATACATTAACAACAAGAATTTTTTTAATAAAAGAAATCTAATTTTTAAAGATAAATTCTATATGTATTTTGGTAGGCTTAAACAAAATTTTACGGGATAAATGATTAAAAAGGAATGTGTTTTTAATAATTTGATAATTCAAAATAGAAAAATGTTGTAAATAGTTAAGAAAATTTAAAATTTAATAGAAAATAATAGCAATAAATCTTCTATTAATTAATAAAAATGATAGATGGCTATAAGGACTGTGCTAAAGATAATTTTCGTTAAGAAGAGGGACATTCTTAGATTAGCTAAGTTGCGGTAGAAATCTTAAGCTACCTTTTTTACATTTAATATTTATATTTAGAGTTAGTCCTTCCTTACATTTATATTACATGGACTTATGTTAAAATTACCAATTGTTAATGAATACATTGACAATAAGTATTTTTTTAAAAATTAAAGAAATCTTAGTATTTTTAAAGGTAAATTGTATGTGTATTTTGGTGGATTTAAACAAAATTTTAGTGGATAAATGGTTAGCGAGAAATGTGTTTTTAATAATATGTTAATTCCAAAATAGGAAAATCTCGTAAATAGTTAAGAAAATTTAAAGTTTAATCGGAAATTATAACAATAAATCTTCGATTAATTTATTAATATAATTTTCGTTTAGTACTAAAATAATTTTCGTTAATAAGAGGAAAATTGTTAGATTGGCTAATTTGTCGTAAAAATCTTAAGCTATATTTTTTTTGCATTTACAGTTAATCTTTCTTTACGTTTATATTGCAAATACTTATTTAAAAATATTAAGATAAATCTTTTTGTGGTGTAAACCATAACACCATAAAACTCTACTCTTAAAAAAAAATCATGCTCTTAACAAATATTTCATTTTCAACATTTCATTTGACAATTGTGTAAGCTATGCATTACATAAATGTAGCTCACACAACTGTATTCATTCAAAAAACAATCTTCGGAGCTAAGATAATTGAATAACATATTATTAAGTGATATTATATCATCACTTCATCTTCAATTTCAATCCATTCAGCGTGAGAAAAAAAATCATTTCGTAGAAAAAAAAAGCATCTCACTGGGATGCAAAACGTGTAAATGGATACAAGTAAAAAACAGTACAGTATAGATATTGTAATTTTTATAAATTCTGAAATATTTGTCCTGTAGACTCTTATTCAGTCTCATTCTATTCTATGTAAAAAAAAAGTAAATAAATAAAAAAAAAATGTGTGGGAAACAATATCTCAGTTGTCTAGATTTTAGAGTTTCAGTTTCTTCTCCTTTTGTCCCTCATTCACAGAAAGGGCAAAATGGAGAACAAAACTCATCTCGAAGAAGGAGGAAAACTGCAAATAATCACATTGGACTTTGACAAAAAAATTTTATTAAACATATTTTTCATACTTTTCTCATTATTTTGTATTAGTTTAGGTCAAAATAAGTGATTAATATTACATAGAACATTTTAATAGTTTATGGTAATGAAATACAACATGGAACAGCGATGTCTTTTTTTTGGCGTTAAATTACGTCTTTTTCTGCTTTTCACGGCTCATTTCCTTGCAATATTTTTTTTCTTTCAGATTTGCACTTATTTCAATTGGGTATAATATTAAAAAAACACAACTACTTCCACTTAGTTGGAATAGCATTTACCATGACGCAATGCTAAATTCTATGCCACTATCCACATAAATTCCACTATCCACATAAATCAATTATTAATCAAAAATCGAATATCAATTACTTTTCTTTATAATGCAATAAAATCTGGCGAGCAGCTATTTAAACGATCAAACACTTCGTTTGTTTATTTGTGGCTTGAAGTTAGGCTCGCAGAAAATGCCGTTCATGGGTTAAATTTAGTAGGAATAACACAACCTGTGACGTAGGCTATAGTATACCCAATTATTTAGATTCAAAAGGAACAGCTGTTTATCATTGAAATTTCCTTAATTTACAAAATCGATTTATGATTAATTTTTGAATATGAAAAAACAAAAAAAAAAATTCAAACAACTTATTTATTTATTTTACTTATTTATTTTTCTGGATTGCATATTTTAGTACAAATATAATTCCGATAATCTAATATATTTTTAGTAACTATTAAACTGTTTTTTATAATTAAAAAATACCAAAATATATTTTTGCTTGTTATTAGAGCGCCAGAAAAAAAAATTTAAAAGGGACACCGGTGTCTTATCTACGTCAAAGAGTTGACTGAGAACTTTCCCTTAATCATTACCTCTAAAAAATTTCTTCAAATCATTTCCTAAATATTTTTTTTATTCGTAAGAAAGTTAAATTTGGTTTATTTATATGATGATTTTTTTACATGCAAGAAATTTAAAAGATAGGGGTCGGGGGAGGGGGGTTGAATATGACGTCTATAGGACGTCCAGTCAGTTTCCATACCTTGGTAATAAAGGTCCAGATTCTCCATTAGGTAAAAAATTTTCTCCGTGCGTCATGAGCTCGTAGTGTACTCTGCAGTAGACTAGGTTGTCCCTGAGACCAAAGTAGTCGCCTTGGGTCAGCGCTGTATTGCACCAGGCACAAGTGAAGCAGTGTAGGTGGTACACTAGGTCCCTTGCTCGCATCACCAGCTCGTTGGCAAATATTCCCCTTTGACAGCGAGCACATCTCTTTACAGCAAACAGTCTGAAACATATTTAAGAAGTATATTAGTAAAAAGTATGAACGAAACGGTTGAATAGTTCCTGTAAAATTAAATTAAAAATATACGACTTCCTTAAAATTCTATTTCTCAGCAATTTTTGTCTAACTTTGTATTTTGCCTTATAAAATTACATTCTTTTAAATGGTGTAAAAATTTTTATATCTTCCAATTCAAAAACTGTTCAATTTTTATTGAATGAAGTAATAAAAAATTATAAATAATTATTAAAAATTACTTTCTGCAGGGAATAATCTTTGTATATATAGATATTATAACTGCGTGAGAAATGTTTTAGATTAGCTTAAAAATCTTACGAAGTACAGCGAAGTACGCAAAAAGTGAAATTAACATTAAGGTGTCCAAACGTTGGACAGCTCTCCTGACCAAGCTATTGGGACCATAATTCGTAGATTGTGGTTACCCAATCGAATACAATATAATGTAATGAAAAATGGTACAGGTATAGGAAGTGCAATGGAATTTAAAAAATGTATAATTATGTAATTGTATAAATTGTTTATAGTAACTATGGTGACTGTTCTGCAATAGCTCAAAAGTGCAATTACAGCAATGTAATTTGGCGCATTAAAAATGTCATTTTTTATTAGTAAATTTCGAAATTTTAATTTAGTTGAAAGCTATTGCAATTTTAGATGCATTTTTCACGACTTTTTAATCAATTTTTTCTTAAATTTATAAGTATATAGCCGTTCTTGAGAAATTTTATTTATTTCTCGAGAGATTTTTATTTTGCAAACTCGTGTTTGAGTTTATGTTGAGTTTGAGTTGAAGGAGAATTTATAGGGAATTTTTTTTTTAAAATTATAGAAAGCCTATTTTAAGACAAACAAAAGTCGTATTCAGTATTGAATTGTTATAATAGAAGTTTCTTTAACGAGTAAAATTACCTTTTTCTCCTTCATTTCTCTTTATAGAGTCATAAAAGTCCTAAGTTTAACTATTCTTCATAGTACAATGAATTATTTTTAAAATCCAAGTAATTAGTTATTTTGTTGCGATTAACATATTAACAAAATGTTTTTTACATAAAATTGTAATAATTATCGATTTTATAAACAAAAAATTGCCTGATTTTATTAAAAATATGGAATTTTATGAAAAACAATGATTAACACGAAGCAATCATGGGAGTAGGTTAGCGTAGTGTGCAGGGTGAAGAACCCATGAGTGATTTTAAAACAGTACCAAATTTTCTACCATTTTTCATTTTAAATTTGTATTCTGTTTCTCATTTATTTATTTTGTTCCATTATTTACTCTCTTATTTTTGCAATTACGTAAAAACTTTTCCTATTCACCTTGAAAAATTGTATATTGTTTTAAAAAACGAAAGATAAAAACAAAATTTATGTTCGAAAGGGAAAAATGTTTAGCAATTCAACTAGTGCTTTTTTGCAAAAATACTCCAAAACAGTTAGTTGGAATCAAAATAATTCTGACTCTAAATGCTTTGAATAATAAATTGTTTGAGAATTATCCGAAAAAATCTTTCACATTTTTGCATCTTATTAAGCTTTTTTTTAATGCCAAGTGTTGCTTCGTCTAAACTACAGGATTTTGATTTATTGTATTAAATTGCTTTTTCGATTTCACTTGAAAAGTCTTTTTTTTCAAACTAGCTTATTGCAACACTGCTTTCCAAGTAAATATCTAAACTACAATGATTTTAACATTTAATTGTTAATAAGCATATATTTTTGCTATTCTTTGTGTTTATTAATTTTAAAATTTAATTATAGGACTTTTTTTCCGGTTTGTTCATTTACAAAATGCCATGGAAAAGTTGTTCCAGGAAATTAAATGAACACGAGTATTTTTATGAAAAACATCAAGAAATTTTCTTTTAAAAAATTAAAATATTCATGACATTTTTGACCAAAATAAAAAAAGGTTTTCATTTCAAAATATTAAGACAGGAAAAGATTTAGATAATCAAAAACTTTTAAATGTCAATTTACTTGGATGAATTACAAGAAGCTAGATTGTTGTATTTTTAAATATTTTTTTATAATTTTAAATGTGAAACATGGTCTCTTCTGAGAAAGTATCATTTTTTAATGTATAGAAAAACTTCTTTTAATATCTATTAATGCTAATTATGCATATTTAGAGAACACAAATCACTTACGGACAATTGTCTAGTACCGAAATTTGTCACTTAGCACTTTTTTAGAAGGAAAATATCTTTCTTACAATTTGGAAACAGGGTGTTTCACGAAATGTTAACTTTTGGACTATAGTTCAAAATCTATCAGTTTGTTCCAGATGTTGCTTTTTTAAGCTTGTAGTCCTTAAAAACGAGTTAAAAATATTATTTTCCCAACTTATTTAGGCTTAAGTTTCTGAGAATATATTCTCAACAGAATATATTCTCAATATTTCTGAGATTATATTCTCTTCTACAAATTGCAAACTTCCGTCGCAGCGTTTATGTGACGTGTTAAACATAACGTTTTTAGCTTGTACATTTCAATAAAAAATAAACTAAAAATGTCATTTAAAAAAATGTAGCTTTAGGAGAAAAAATTAAAATTTCCATACTTAAATTAGGCAAGATCAAATATTCGTTTAGTGCAAAAAAAAAAAAAAAAAAAATATCTGTTCCCCAGTGTTATCACTTTTTTCGATAAAAAAGAAGTAAAAATGAAATGTTCCTTCTATCACTTTTTTAAAAATCTTTCCCAGAAAAAAGCAGCTTTGTAATATGATATATTATTTAGAACTTGTGAGAAAGAGTTCTAAATAATATATATTCTAATAATTCTAATTATTATTCTAATAATTCTAAATAATATATATTCGTCAGACACGTATGATCAGACATGATGGAGGATAATATACGACACGTTTGAATGGTTTTATTTATTTATTTATTGACATTCCATATTTTTTACGCTTGAACTGATCAATAGAACAGAAATCAATTTACAGTATTTTTTGTTTTATGGTTAAAATATAGCAAAATACTTGAGTCTTAAATATATAGATCCTGATTGATAGTATTTTTAACATAGGGCTGTAACATGTGCAACAGACAAAACACTAAATATTTTTAGATGTGAGTTATTTTAAATATTAAAAGTTTAGTTTCGAAAATTTTTTTTTAGATGAGAATCTAAGTAAAATTTTAAAAAATGCATAAATTGCATGAAAGTATAAAAATAAGAATCTGAATAAAATGTTCTGTAAATTGCTATAAACAAGTTGATAATCGAATTGAAAAAAAAAAAAAAAATACAAATTTCTCTCCCACAGAATGACCACCCCCCCCTAAAAAAAGGAAGGAAAAAAAAGAGGAATAAAAATTTTAAAATATAAATATATACATGGTTTTAAGAACTGCCCTCAAATTTCCCCCTGCCCTCTTTTAAAACTCTAGGTTCTGGAGTACCAGTTTTCGAATATTCTCCGAAGTTTGTCTGTCCGTCCAAACATGAGAGTACCTGAATCCACGAGTGTTTTGGCGAACTTTTGGAACCACTCTATCTTTCCCTACCCTCGCCTATCCTCTCCAAAAAAGGAAAAACAGGAACACGTTTATACATTTCAATACAGTACCTCTGGAGAGGGCACGTTGATATTTTTATCAAACTGTTTTTCTTTAAAAACCGTCGTAAAATTCGAGTGTTTTAAAGGGGGAGGGGTGTCAATTGGCTCAGCTACCCTCTTGTAACATGCACACTGTTCTTTGGCATGAGGGGGGCTTAGATATTCGTGTTATTACCATGGAAACAGAGACGCTTCAAAACGCGCGCGTGGTTTTTAAGAATATTGATTTGTAGTCCTGTATGCGAAATCACCCGAACTTTTAGAAAACTTCACGTCTTTTTGCTGTCTCCCCCCGCCCCTACCTGTCTTCCTACCAGCTAAAAATTTTCTTTTTGAAAGATAAAAGTCGTTCTTTTTCGATTTTTGCTGGAACTGAAGTGAAGTAAAAGGGTAAAAAGAACGCTTATAAAAAGAAGATAAAAACTACACGTGTGAGAAAATAAAAGACGCATCGAGTTTTGTAGCAGAAGAGAAAATACACAAATTTCTTTCATCTTTTTCTCAGGTATCTTAACTGCGTAAAAGTAGGTAATTAAAATTCGTCACATAAAAGGAAATAATTTAACGCAGACGATGTTTTTTCATGCACCTTTTTCCTCAGTTTTGTTGTTACTCGTTTCTTCACTTCACTTCTTCAAAGCACTTCAGACATTTTGTTTAGCATTAATTAAACCTTTTTACTCGTTCTTTTCGTTTCTGTTCTAATATACTTCATTTATTTATTTTTTATCGTTGATTTCTATTGTTTGAAATTTGAGTTAGTTTGATCGTTGAAGTTCGTAAAATGTTTTTTGGACTGCCGAAATCGAAGTTTTTCGGTAAATATTTTTATGAGGTTTCTAACGGTTTCAACGAGCTCAAGAACATTCTTGAAGTTAACGGAAAACTCATCGCGTTCGATAAAATTGCCACAAAGATGATAAAAAAAGGTACTCAACAACATTTTTAACTTTAATGTTTTAAAAACCATTCAACAAAAGAATGAAAGATTTTAATTCAGTAAATTATAACATTTAAGGCGGCTTGATATTTAGTTAGTGACTTAATGAAGTGTGATCATATTTATGAAAAAAAAAAGGTAATACTTGAAATTGCAATATTTTAAAAGTATGTATTTAAATTTACTGCAGGTTGTAAAGTTTGTCTCTTTGCCAAAATTTCAGAGAAGTATAATAATAAATTCAAGAATTTAACTCTAACCTGCCCCTAAAATTAAAACTCACACATAGTCCATAATATTCTATACAAAAATTTCTAAAACAAATTTCTTCAAAATGACATAATTAAAGAAAGGTTTACATCAAATTAAAAAAAATTGCTTTATAAATTGTTTTAAAAATAACCCATTTTCTGTTGAGTTCTTTAGTTGAACCAAGGACAAAGTCAATTTTCTGACTAAGCAATAAAATAT